TTATTGTGTTCAATTAAAGACGAGACGAGTTCTATTAGTTTAAAAGAATTTTTTCACCATTACCATTAATTCTCGGTAGTGCTTTCCTTGTTCGTATTTTGATGTAGCGGTTAAAGTCATTGCAGAAGAAAACAGATTGTTACAATTAGAACTTTATATACTTTTTGTTTTCATTAATTGCGTGATTTTCTACTCTACTATTTTTAGTAAATATTCTCTATCTTTTCAAAATACTAACGTTTTGTCAGAGAAAGTCATCGAGCTTGTAAGTTATCCTTACTATTATGTATATAATATAATATAATTTGTGAAGGATCTTTTGTAAAATTATAGTACTTTATGAAAAATGATAAAAAGCTTCTTAAAATTTATCGATATCTACTTTATTATCAAAAGTACTTGTAAAATAAGAAGTAACTGTGAATAAATATATTCAATAAGCTGATTTAAATGACAATTAGTATTTAGATTAATGATAAATATGATAAGTTTGCATTTAGATACTTCGATCAAAAATAAATATTGTTATTTAACTGAAAATATAAGAAAACCATACGACTTTCAGAATAAAGAGATTCAAAAAAGTTCTTTTAAGTAGTTATCCTTCAATATAAATTTTCTGTAAAAGATTACGTATACATTCATTAATGAATTAAATATCGCAGAAAGATGTCCTAATTCCTCAAAAGATGTACAAAATATAAGTATAAGACTTTCACATCCTTTACTATTACTTTTACAATAAATTTGTAATACATCTTCATTGCGCATAAATAATATTTTATAGTAAGTTAATAATCATAAAAATGTTAATATTCCTGTGATATTTTATTCCTAGTATATATTTAATGTTAATAAAGTTTAAATTATCTTAAAAGGTGAACAATAATTTTAGTAATAAGCTTGATATCTGTTTAAAATACATCAAATTCGTTTGCTCAAATGATTCATTAGATGGCATTAAAGAAAATTGAACTTAAAAATAAATTATTTCTTTTTATAAGATTCGAATTCAAATTAAAATCTATCGAATTGAGAAAATTTTGAAAATGAAAATATCCTTTTTTAAATTTTAAAGATCATTGGAGATAATTTTGATATATCGAGAAAGGAAGTTCAAGCATCGCGTATTCGAATCAACGAAATGCAAGAATCTTTTGTTCAACCTTACATAGATAAGCGCATTGAAAGAAGGAAAGCATCGGCTCTGAGACGGAAAAAGACATCAGATTGGTAAAAAAAAAGTCAAAAGGATCTTATGGCATGCTCTTTCCTTCAGTTGGACGCCCACTAACACACGATAATGTTCGAAGGTCTCTCTCCTCTTAGCGTATTTCTTTTAAGACGTTTATTTTTCGTTACTTGCTTTGCCTCGGCTCTTTTTTTCCTCTCCGTGATTTTTTCACCCGCCCCTCCTTTCCCATTCGTTCGGTTATACGCTGTGGAGGTCGTGAATAAACAGCCTTCGCCGACGCTACTCTTCTCCTTTCTAGCCTCGCGTTGCAGGGCGCAAAGATAGGTGCAGCTCTTTCTTTTCTTACTAACGTACTCCGAGACTTTTCATGTGCCGTACCTCACAGCGAATCTCTCTTTCGTTACTGACACTCACCTTGCTTTACGATTTTGTTTCGCTCTCTCTCTCTCTCTCTCTCTCTCTCTATCTCTCTATCTCTCGTTCTCTCCCTCGCATGTACATGAAAACTTTTGCATTTTAGTCGCGTGTTTTCTCTTTGTCTTTCTTTTTCGTTGGTTGTTACTTTTTTTCATTTCTAAATTGACAATCAGGATCTGTGGTTATTTTCTTTTAGTTTTTCCTATCTTAAAATGTATTTTTTTTTTTTACTTACAAAGTTATGAATTCAAATTTTGTCTTTTTCCCTAAATTCATCAACAAGCTTGTCTACTTTCGGATCATCATATATGCATATGAAAATGATTATTTTTGTTTATTTTTGATAATTCTTGAAATACAATAAATTATTCATTACCATATTAACAATTATTTCATATTAATGTCAAGTTATAAATATATTAAAAATTATTACTATGTTTGTTTATACAATACTTATATGTTACCGCATTAAATGATAATTTAATATAATTTAATATATATTTTAATATAATTGATATATTTATTATATTTAATAACGGTCAACAATAATCTTATGCAGATGCGATAATGAACATACTTTAATAATTTAGTTTATTTTTTAAATGATCGATTAAAATTTCGTATATGCTTATAATTAGCGTTAGTTCTTTGTGTCACGGCGAATGAATCGATGTACTTTGTTGAAAGCACAGCCACTGTACAAATATAAAGTAAAAAAACTAGCAAAACGAGTGCTACAAACGAGTTAGCTATTTTTTTGCCTCTCTTTCTATCTCAATTATACTTTCATTGAATCAATTCTGTAATTTGACATTACCCCTCGTATTAATACTCAATTCTCTTTCAGGCTGTTGCTTTGTACATTAGTCGACACGCCGAGTTATTAACATAAGAACGACCTTTCGTAGTGACTTGGCTAATCCTTTACATCCTTAATTAATGAACGCGAGTCCCCTTTCGCCCCCCCCCCCGCCGCCGTCCACCGCTATGAAAGAAGCCTAATACACGTGACATAATAAACTGGCGGCTAATCCACATGTAACGGTAGTCCCATCGTGTGTACTCGTTCGAAGCATTTGACAAGCTATTAAAAGAAAAAAAAATAACGAAAAACTACCGTCCGGTAAGCGCGAGTGTGCGTGCCAATAGCATTTTTCACCCAGGCATACAGTCGAATGAGGGCGTCGCGGCGTGGCGGGGGAGAAAAAAGAAGGTGGAGCACTCGTAAACAATGGGGAAAAAATCGTGCGTGGGGCACGAGTGTTTTCGTGCGTGCGTAGCAAGGGGCTCGATAAAAAAAAGTACATAGAGGAGGTGAGTGCGTAGAGCCGAGGGCGGAGTCGAAAAAAAATCGGGCGGCCTGTCGTGTGCGCATTCAGGCGTAAGAGCCTCACGTGTGCCAAGGGATTCTACTGGATCCGCGAGCCTCTTATATTACTTTTCCCATAATTGTTTTATAAAGCACATGTGTTTTTTTTTTATTTTTTATTTTTGCTTACAATAAATTAGGCCTTTTTTAAGTGCTTTTAACAATTCATTTCATTTGAATTTATCTTTATTTTTGTCAGACTTTTATTAGAGGCAATCGTGTCGTAATGAAAATCAAAACTTTTAAAATTGAAATACTTTAGTTGAATTTCAAGCTTAGCTTTAGTACTTTAGTTTGGAATTGTAAAATCCATCTTCTTTATCCATCTGCTTTATCAAAGTATATTGTTTTATCGCTTTTATGGATAACATGAATTTAATTAACCAATAATTTTCCGTTATTCCGTGATCTTAATTTTAATGGTTACTACGTTGTAAGAGGTTGTTTAGCTGCAATTCACTGATCGAAGAAATTGCTGGCCCTCGATGTAGTGGCTTATTTTTCAGGTCACCTCGTTCCCCAAAAGAAATAAAACAGGCGTATATATGTGGCTTTCTTTGCATGTGAATTATCTATGCGAACAAAACATGGCGGCAGCTCTCATTATAAATACTGCCACAGGCGAATACCATTAGCGCGTGCGATTCTCGCGTGATGCGAGACAAGAAGTAGAGGAACGCGCACCCAGCACCCACGTAAAAAGAAAAATAAAGAAACTATCTTCCTGGAGCTGAGATATAGATACATACAAGCATTAAAGAGGAAACGTGTATAATTTAATGAAAATTTACATAAAAATTTATTCATAAAAATAACTATTAAACGTACAATAAATTGGCGATATAATGAAATATCATGAGATTTACTTTAGAAGTGTAAAAATAAATTACAATATTAAAAAAGAAAACATCAACGTAATTATTAACTTATTACTCTATGTTTGCATTGCTTTTATGGCGTATTATTGGGAGATTTTTTTTTCATGATACGAAGAAGCTTTATGGAGGAAAAGATTATTATTTAAATTCGAATTTTTACAGCTTTTTCATCGATTTTAGTAAATTATATGGAATTAAAATATTTTAATTATATTTACTAAATTTAAATAATTAATTATTTACTAAATTTAAATAATTAATTATTTACAAAAATTAAAATTTAATTATTTACTAAAATAATATAATTACTAAAATTCATGTGATTTTTTAAAATGATATTACATTTTCCGTGTATATTTTGAATCTACGTAGAATGTTTCTATAGAAATATTATGACCATCTCCATAAATCCCAATTATAAGATACAGTTTATTTATTAAAAGTGATATCTCTCGTGAATAAATGTAAGAACGAGCAAACAAGAAGTAGTATGTCGTCTGTGTAATTTATCCATATCGTATGAAACGTTCCTTTACTGGCCGTCCCACTTTTCTATTTTAAAGTTCTATCCTAGCCATAAGCGCAAAAAGTAAAGGCAAAGAGATAAAGAGACTCAGTCACCTTTTCTGGAGTTTAGCCAACCGTTGATATTTACTACGGGGTGTGAAGTCGCACTCACTTCCAATTGATAATAACGTACATTATTGTGATATATAGATGTGTATTGGTAAATATTCTGAATATATTCGGACGGAAAGTTTCGTTTTTGCGCGATTACGGCTTTACACGCTGATAATCGTTGTCACTTCAAAAAATACGAAACTCGTAATGCCAATAGCAAAAGAAGTGAAGGACATGCCGAGTAAGCAATTGAATTCCACCTGAATAAATTGTTTGATGGAAAAATGAGTGCACAGGATTTTAATGGGTGTCGTAATTAGGAATTTGATGTATAATGAGTGATTTAATTCGAATTTCAATAGGTGTGCGGTGCGATGTGATGGTTTAGAATAAGTCAAGATATGGCGCGATAGTATGATTTTCGAGAAAAGATATTATTTTCGTTTCAAAATACAAGATAATTGGTTTAATTTTTAAAACGATGTGTGAATTTTTTAGTTTATGATAAAGTATAACTCACCCGATTGTCAACTTGATTTGGCAGTAATTGTGACGCAAGTAGTATTTGGCAATGATTCTGGACAAAATGAAAAAAGACTCTTCAAAAGTTTTATAAAATAATTCGATAAAATTATTGGGAGGATTTTTTTTTTTGATTATATATGCACATAATATCCAATACGTCCAATTGATTTAAGATAAAATAAAAAACTGTGTATTATCATTATCGTGTCATTTTGTCTCCTCCCAGTTTTGTGTCTTGAATAAGTAAACAGTGGATTTAGTACTGTCATTTTATTATTATCGAGCCTTCGCGAATAAAATTATTTTTATTATAATTTTAGTAATAACATTTAATTGTCCGCTGCATTGGATTGATTGGTTGGTTGGATGGAGCGAAAAATAAGCAAAGTTTGTGGCCGTGGCTCTTGAAGAATAAGCAAAGTTTTGAAGTTTTGACATATCGTGATACTTAAATGCACTAGAATTTATGGTTTAAATTTTTTATTTCACCGAATAAAATTAGAGTTTCTCATTTTTATCAATATTTTTCTCTCATTTGTTGCTTAATACTCAAGAATAAATGAAATGGAGAAAAAAATATTTAAAACACGCAAGTCAATAAACAATATAATAAATAAACAAATGCAATTTATAATTATTTTTAATCATTGAATAGTGATCGATATTTCAACATATTATTGTGAATATATCTTCAAATTTTAATGTGAAAAATCCAAGTGTCTTCCAATAAAATTGCATAAAGTGATTAAAAATAACGCTTGTGGTTTTGTGTCAACATAGAAATCTACAAAGTTATATAAAAAAAATAAATAAAAATGAAAATAAAATAAAAGAATAAAAGAAAAATTTATAAATACATCATGTGTAACCGATGTTAAAGGGATCAGTGTCCTCCTTATTTTAATTCTCAGAAATCACGCCGTATGCACAATCAAGACATTCGAATAGTCTATCATCAGGCGATAAAATTTTCTTTCACTCGTCGACACACAAAGCCAACGGTTAAGGAGTTTTTACGGAGAGCGCAGACGCTACGGGGATAATTAAGATGCCGAGGGGAGTCTAAGGGGTTGAGAAAAGAGACTAGGGGTACGACGGTCGTGTTGCGTTTTGCGCCGGACTATTAACGGCTCTTAAGTGTCGAGAATCCACCAAAAATGTAGGTGAAGCTAGGTCTCGCGCTTGAGTGAGAGGCTGTTTGTTAATGGGTTGCTGTGTTGCTTTAATCATTGGTTAGGATAAATAGAGAACGGCAGTTGAAAGTTTATAGAAAACAGAAAAGAGAAGGAAATTTTGTTATTGATGTAGCGTCATGTATATATATATATATATATATATATATATATATATATGTAAGTAATATTCTCCATGGGACATTCGAAAATTAATTGTACTAGTTAGAACCTCTATGTCAGACGGTAGTTCCGTAAACAAAAGCGGAGTAGATTGTATCTACAAACTCTTCGTCGCAAAATTCCGGTGCATTTCCATCTGCAAAATAGCCGCACGCGCGAGACTAAATTAGGTTATTCCCTTTTATCGCGTCGAATATTGTTCCATCGAAAAAGCGGAAGGACGTAATTCGAGCGTCCATACAGTCGCACGTACATCGAGCGGAAAATAAGCATCGAGCGGGAAAAATGGTGAGGCAGAAAAAAATCAGAGAACAAGAGCAATGAGTGGCGTTCGTTAGAAAGAGAACAACTCCCTCAGGTATATTGTCATTACTCGGAGTGTGTGCGTGCGTGTGCGCGTGTGCGTGTGTGTACGTGCGTGCGTGCGTCAGTTGCACACTAGACGCCGCCCGTGACATCCAAAGTGTTGCTCTATTATAATATTCGATTTCCTCGAGTCTCCATTGCCTTTACACGGCTGAGATAATGTTGCGCCGACACGCCAACCGAACGGGAGTGACTTAATTTTTATTCGAGCTCCACATCCGAAAAAGGGAGACGCTGTACCCGCGGGAGTAATTGTTACAAGTGCTGCAATTAGATATATTCGATTTCTTTTATTATAATAAATCTATTGTCATATATTTGCTTAAATTTTTTCATTCAGTACTTTTTAATTTGGAAGTTCGTTAAAATTGCTGGAGTGTGGTTTTTTTAAGTTTTGTTTTAAGATATTATCATACATTATAAAAAGATACACTGAAAGCATGAACGGAGATGCATTTAAAGATATTTGTCCGCTACAGTTACTCACGCGTTAATATTAATCCTGAATAATTTCTTAAGGGTTAATATTACTATTATTATAGATATTTCGGATAAAGGGATTATTTAAGAAAATTGATAGAAGAAAATAGTCATTACGATACGCGATCTTATATCGTTTGTATCTTTCACTCAACTTCATTTGTAATTAACGTATGATCAGTAGTTTTTACTTGTTACGGTGCTTAGGCAAATTTTGACTCGAAAAAAGTAAAGCGAGGGATGATCTATTAGATCACAGGATGAAAATAATTTCAAGGAATCTAGTCTTTACGGGAATTCGATTAGAGCAGACCAAGATGGGCTCCCGTGTCTTACATCTTGGTTTTATTTTCTCTTTAAAGTCGTTGAGAAGAGACAGCGCGAAAAAGCAGAACACGAACCTTACTTTCCCCCACCCCTATTTAGCTCTTACCTTCGCAGCGAAGGCGCCGTTGTTTTAATTACGCTCAGGGATCCGCGCTTGTACGGTTGCAACGCGATACTTTATTTTTGCGGTAATCCAGCACTCGCTTAAGAGAGCGCACAACAGAGAGAGAGAGAGAGAGAGAGAGAGAAAATAGAGAGAGAGAGAGAGAGAGAGAGAGTAGGGTGAAAGAAGTGAAAAAAAGAGAGATAAAGAGAAAGAGAGGAGAAAGAGAGATGTCGTCGGTGGAAAGAAACTAATTTTAAAAGCTGTCGGATCTTACGAAAATGGACCGGCAAACGAGTCCCAGCAATCTTCCAACCCTTAATATGCGCGCTCAGATGCGAGATCGCTTATTATACGCGAAATGAGAGAGCTAATAAGGGAGCGTTGTGGTTCTTAGCCGTTGCTTGACTTTTCTTTGAATTTTTTATTTTGCACTTTTTAACATTTGCGTCGGATATGTTGATAAAGTGATTGGGTAAATACTGGTATAAAAGTACATATGTAATATCCTTTACATCTGATAATAATCTTATAATAATTGCAATGATTGTAAAAATTTTGCTCTCAAACGAAAGAAATAATTATTTTTTGATAAATGCTATATTTTCTAATTTATTTTCTAATTTTCTTCATTCTTTTTAACTAATTTATTAATAAATCTTTTTTTTTATATATTTTTTTACTTAATATTTCACCACATTGTTAGAATATTTCTATATGAAACGTACGCAGGTATATAAGCTATTAATTGCTCGGTAAACGTGGTCGAGTGTATTAGTAATCCTGAAATATCCATAAGAGTGAATCTTTCGGGCGGTATAGCCCTCATATTTACATATCACAATAAAAATCACACGGTTCCTTACGAGCGATTTTCAGGCCACGAAAATTACCGGACGTCGTGCAATAGTGAAACATGCGAACGAGCCGAGTTCCGCAATGATAAAAAAAATTGGAAATTTCGCCAACCTTATCCTTATCCTGGAACAGCATCGTCCTGGTGCACATGGGCCTCGTCAAAAAAGGCAGTGCTCGCCCACCCCACGAAAGATTGATCTAAGCGCAAGGCTCGTAAGTGCCTCGTTAGGAAGTCAGATTAGCGCGGCTGAGATTTATCGACGCGGCGAAAATTGAACAGAGCTTTAGTCGTGGATTAAGTTTCAATTACAAAGCGCGCCAAGCAAGGCCCCCACGTGAATTTATTGCTGAAAGCGCAACTTTTTCGAGACACGCTGACAACCCTTATGGATTGATCCAATTCATGTTCAAATTTTTTGATCGATATTCCTTATAGATGCTGAAGTTTTCTTTGTGTATGATGTCCGTATATACATTATTATTATGATGCTATTGCTAGTTGAGAATTTAATTTAAATGTGTCTTTTATGTACGTATCTGTTTATGAATATTTTCATGCAATACTTAAATGAATAACCGCGTATCATTCGTGAAAAATTTGCCCATTTCTAATTGCTCTCTTTCTCTCTTCTCACGAAACTCAAAGAAAAAAAGGAGGATAGATCGTAGGCCGTCAGTCAGCCAAGGATTAAAATTAAGTGAAAGCGAAAATCCGTTGCCTCGTAAAGCATCTGCCTCCCCGTATCTTCGTTTTTTTTTCTCAGGACATATGCTCGCTCAGGAGAAAAGGGTTGAATAATTCGGACGGTTATCGCTCAACGGAAGACGGGAATGAATTTGATCAGAGGCTTGATCGTATTCGTATTATCTCAAATACAGATAAATCGTTTAAAGAGATGCACTAATAATAAACGTTAATTCTGTAATTAATGATAATTTGTTTTTCAATCTAACATCGAACTAATACAGAATCATTTTTATCACGATGTATTTTAATCAATTTTTTTGGCTATGCATTTGCATATTTTTATGTAGATACACGTGCACATCTGAGTATATGCGTATGCGTGGGTGGTTGGCCCAGTTTATCGTGTAGGAATTAATTTTTGCCATAATAGTAATGCTTTAAGTATACCCGAATTTTATCCTAATATCGAGATTTTACAGTACCAAATAATGGCCTGATGGTAAGCATTTATAAATATACTTTTAAACAGATTAATCCTATTAAATTAAATACATGTTTGTATTTAATTTATGCATGAAGATTAAAATTTTAAAAGTTATCGAGGCACTGAAATTCTTCTTATTTTCATCGTATTCTGTAAGATCAAATATAATTTTTTAATGCTTATTAATGTATTATCTTTTTAATTGTGGATTTTTTATATTTACGAATTACTTTTGTTATACTAAATAAGAAAATTCATTATTAATAATCATGAATAAATTTTAATTTAAAAATTTATAAAATATTTAAAATATTGGCAATTTTAAATAGATTTAGAAATATATTAAACAACGTATATTTTATGGACAGTTTTAAAGAATGCTTTTATGCAAAAACGTTCGTAAAAATGTAGTTAAATTTGTTACTTTTTTTGTTCGATGTTAAAACATTTCATTAAAGCTTGCATATATTTTAATTTATATTATTTGAGATTTTAAGATACAAGAATTTTCAAGTTTAGAACAATATTTTTAAACATTTTAATGATTCATATAATTTATATGAGCTATGGAGAATTATTCGTTTTAAGCATAGAAAATATGCGAGAAATAATTAAATTCTACAAAACAAATTAAGTACTAATATCACGTGGATGATTTTGTTAACGGTATCTTCGATTTACATCTTCATTATAAATTGGATAATGAGATTAAATGCTTCCAGAGCCACTGACTCTATTTAAGAATTTTGGATAGAAGCTTGGTTTAATGTACAGAAGAACGAATTATATTAATCGCATAGAAGCTGACGAAATTGAAAGTGTCGTAAGAAAATTATACAAGAATTATATACGATATTACCCTCTGCCTCGTTGTATTTTTATGAAAAAGCGTTATGAAAAACCATCACCGAAACATCAGAAATATATGATGCAGTGCACGTAATTGTGTAAAAAAAAAAATATATATATATATTTATATATATATATATTTTTTTTTTTTTTTTTTTTTAAATAAATTAGAAAGTAAACAATGGCTCAAATTAATTTTATCTCCAAATTTTTTTTATATTAGCTATTATATTGCAAACGTTAAGAAATAAAAATAACCTTCCGATAATTGTTAACGAATAATTTCAATACTTGCTTTTTTATTTTTTTCAGTTCCTGACAATTATCACACGTGCAATGCCCATGATTCTCACTATACTTTCTTAAACCCTCCGTATTAGTTTATTACCCGTGAAATGTACGCGTTTTCGGTAATTGTTAGTTTGTTATTTTGGGTAAAAATCGATGTAAAGGCTTATCATGTATTTATGTAAGTGTCAGTTTACTTTTCGATCGTGTACGATTATTAAGAAAGAGATAGAGAGCGATAGAGTCATATATGTTGTTATGTACGTGTCCGGCAAAATAATTAGTATAGTTAAATACGATGTTATATGGACGGCTCGGAGACCAAGTGGACTCGGCACGATTTTGAAAAATTCGTATTTTCATCGAGTATGTGAAGCTTCACGTTTATTCTTTACCGCGTACACCCGCTCTTACACAACTAAAGAAAAAGTCTCGAAATATTAAACACCATCGTTCAAAGCTACTAACATAATAAAATTTGACGAGATGTTTTCTCTCCATTCTTTCCCTCTCCCGTCGTCCAAATGTTCAATATCCCTCAGCCGTCCATACGCACGTATATAGATAAGAATGTATTGTCAAAAAATAATGTAAATCATGGACGTCGGATTTGGCACATACATGACTGACCTTGGACGTATGCGTCCTGAGGCTCGACTCCGTGGCGAAGCCTTTGCCGCATATGTTGCAGTGGAACGGGCGATTCTTCGCGCGCTCCACCTGCGCGTCGTGATTCCTGAGGTGCTGCTGGAGATTCGACAGCTGGATGAAGGCGCGCCCACAGTCCGGTAGGTGGCACTTGTATGGCCGTTCACCTATAATCAGCAAACGAAAATTGCTCACATTAGTTAACGCAGGATTTGGTCCTATCTCTCTCTCTCTCTCTCTCTCTCTCTCTCTCTCTCTCTCTCTCTATCGTTCTCGCTCTGCGAGCTACATAAGTATTTACTTAGGGGGAGGGACGAGAGTCTCGAGTCCGATTACAAATTTTGTATTATATGCTCGGCTTGAGTATGTCTTAGCTTTTCAACACCAGTCGTTACAAAGATCTATATAAAGCGCAATAATTCCATTGAGTTGCGCAACTTCCATTATTAATTATGATTTTTATTTTTAAAATTATTGTCGATGATTCATTCATATTCGGTTTATATAGATACTAATAAAATCAATATTTACTTTGACTACAATGTCATAGAATAATTTATAGTACTTAGAAATTATATGATAAGATTGATCCTATAGTTGTTTAAGATGTTTATAATACTTAAATAAATCTATTATGAAAATACAATTTTTTAAGACAATAATTATCAATTATATATATAAATATCAGATATTTCCTAGTGTGTTGATTATTTTTTTAATCATTACTTAATGCTTAATACGTTATTTTTTATCTATATTGATAGAGTTTTCCATACATATTTCATTTTTTCATTATTAATTATCATAAATTTTTTATATTACTGTAATAGTAATTTTGTATGTATAGTAGCAACCATAAAGACTTTTTTTTCTAAAAATCAATAATATTTAACCCATTGTACGGGGAAATTAATCCAATCGATACTTCCGCCTCCTCGAGTTACATTTACAGGTACTTGCGAATAAGTTTATTGTACAAAGAATGAATAAAAACTTAAATGAGAAAAACTTATTTGTTATGTTTGTAGCTTTTGAAACAATTGGTTGATATAGCATTCATATTGATTTTCAAAATGTTCCAAACAATTTACTGAGACACGCGAGATATTACAATGGGACTCACTGAAATCAATGCACTACGATATTGATGCGTCAATCAATTGAGTACTTTGATGCGAGTACAAGATATAATTTACATTTTCACATTTGAATATCTTGTACAAAGCTTTTCACTAACCTTTGTACTAAGCTTTACAACTTTGAGTTTTTTGGTATAAATTTGAGGAAATAATATATTATAACGATTATTTGAAAAATAAATATTTTCGTATATGATGAAATTTGTATTTGTTGTTTTAGCTTATTTGTAAGGAAAATTTTTGACCTTCCATAATAAAAAAAACCTTATGCATTCACTTGCAAATGTGCAGAATGAAGTTTTTCTTCATTCTCCAGTCTGCCGTAGTCCACAGTAATTTCTACAAGCGATTGGCTCAGTTTAACTTTTATTAATATCGACATTCTTCGATGCCTTTTTACTCGTCACCGCCTCACGCGAGGGGAAGAAGGATGAAGGATATAGATATGGTGATAGCGATGTGCAGAACGTGGCGGGATTTCATCTTTTATTCAATCGCCCGACGATTCATCAAAGATCTGCGCAAGTTGCCCGCTATTTTAATAAAAATAACTCTTCGTTTGCTTTTCACCGGATTTTCTTTGCTTCTTTATACATTTTATCTCGAATAATTGCTTGAGGAAGAGTTTCTTTTTTTTTCATTTTATAATTCAATTGGAAACGAAAAAGTCCGGTTAATTTGTTTTGAAATGAAAATCTTATGGCATCTATTTTAATTTCAAATTGATGATTTTTAATGTCCATACTAATTCTTTTTTAATAAAACATATGTGCAAAAAAATAAAGCAATCTATATATATATATATATATATATAGTTTTGAAACTAAATTAAAATTATAAAATTAGAAGTACACATACAAATTTATTTTTATTATATAGCAAATATAATTCATAAAGTTTGTAAAAAAATGAATTTATAAGTCACATACTGGAATTGAAAATTGGAATAGATAATAAAGTAATAAGAAAGTGAATTTTTGTTCAGAAAGTTCAAATAATCTAGAAAGAATACCTTCGGATAAATACACCAAGAAAGAAACATTCATCCCTTAAGAGTCGGCATAGTGTGAATGAACCAGGTAAAGAGAACTCGTGCCAGTACTTGGTTGCAAATATATGTCTACGAAATTCGATTCCAATAATAACCCTTTTACAATGGCCATAGGATGTCCCACGAGCACTCCATTCGTTGGAAACAAGCGGACGCACATGCATGCATTTTTCTCTCCTGTCCCGGACGTATACAAAGGCGCCGACTCATAGCAAAGGTGGAAGATGAGGCAGATAAGGGGGAAACAAAAAAGAAAGAGGCAGCCTTCGAGGAGAGGAAAGGGAAGGAAGAAACCACCCGCGCCGCAGGAAAAGGTCAATACGTGTCGAAGACCCCGAATAACAATGAACCAAGGAGGCAATTACTTATTTAGCCGATATGGAATAGGCAACCTTTTTCTCTCCACGTGTATATCGCGCTAGCAGGTGCAAGTGTATACATGTGCTTCTGCGTGTGGAACTTCAAAGCCGTATGCTTTTCCGGTGGAGGTTATCCGTTGTCGATACCAATTAAAATCGCATTATTAATACGTGCAAGTCGATATATAACAAATGGAAAATAGTGGGTAGGTTTGATGATAGCTTTTTTCTTATTATCATTGCTGTTTGTACGTATGTGCATGCGTACACGCACACGCACACGCACACACACACATATATATATATATATATATATATATATGAATACATGTATTAGCTTATGTATGGATATATTCAACTGCGGTTACGCATATATTTATAATTATTAGAATATTGAGTAAAGTGGTCTACACACTATTTCTATTATTCTTCTTTTCTTTTTAATTATTTTCATTCGTATATTGACGCACATCCAGATACACATATTAGTTTTAAAACATATTAATATTATTCTTTTATTATTTAATAAAATTATTTAGAATTCAGAATTTTGTGATATCTATATACAAACATAGCTATTCATTTAAAAAAATATTTTGTTTGAAATTTAATAGGTAATCATTTAAATAAATATTGGTTTTATCCATTTTATAGTTGCCAATTTGAATTTATAATTTTGTTATTTTTTACTATTTATAAATAATATATTATTAAAAATTTTCAAAATCAATACATTATACGTGTATATCACGAAGAAGAAAATCCTTTTTTATTAATCTATATATTTCATAATACAACATGAAAATTCAGCAAATATTACTTCCAATAATAAAGTCTTTTAACATGAAGGTTCTGAAACCATTAGCACTTTCCGATAGCAATTTTATATAATGCACTATTACACAGTTGTGAATATACCAATAATTCACAATAATATACATTACAACTTATTAAGTAGAGAGTTCAGCCCTAAATATATCCAATAATTTCAATGGATTTCTTCTCTCGTTCTATGAACAAAGTTTATAAATGCGCGCTTGAACTTCCATTTGCTCGAAGATATGTATAAATCCTTTTGCTTTGACTGTTCGACTCCACTTTAATTTTATTTATGCCCCACACAATTCTGGCCTATTCGTACTTTATGTAAAATCACAACTATGGATGATTGTACCGTGTTAGGAGCACGCAAGTATTTTGCCATCTATGCGCAGTTAAAATACGACGAGAAATACGAAATTATGTTACTTTCTGTAAGTTGTTAAATTGCTAAAATCAAGATAATATTTAGGTTTTGCTTTCAGTATATCTACATTCTTATCTGAATAATGATTAAAAGTTGTTATAAGTTTTAAGAAATTATTTCTAGAGCATAAGTATTACAAGGGCTTTTAAAATATTTTTTTCTACTGTTTAAATATAAAATTATAATTAATATTTTCAACTGTGATTACTAAAGCATTTCTTTAGACAATTACGTATATACTAAGTAAGCTGGTCTGATAAAAGTATTTTACGTGATACATTTTTCACTTTTTTAAACCAAAGTAAAAAAAAATGGATTTATTCAAAATTACTTCTCATCTTATTTCGAGTGAATATCTTAAAATATTTATTTTTCATTGATACTTATCTGAAAAAAGTATTTAATAAACTGAAATCTGTCAATTACAGAAGTTCAGAAATATATTATAATTTATTAAAAATTATCGTTTTATAAAAATATTATTGAAATTAGGTAATTAATTGTATTAGGAAGATAAAAGTCCAAAAGTATATTTTATTTTGAGTATATAAATTAAAAATTGTTTTAATTTCTAAAATTTAAGATTGGTAGTAAGAATAATTACTCTCATATATTATTTATTTTTATTTACAAAGTGTGACGGGTTCCAACAGTTTTAAGCGGAATACAACAATGTGGGAGAGGTATGAGCGCGCGAAGCATTGTTTGGTAAACATAAGCCCAACGGACTCAACGAATGCTTCTAACCGAAAAAGTCGAACATACGACTATAATTCCGAGAAATAATACAAATGAACCCGACAAAGCTATGCCCTATTGCCATCACGACAAATAGCGGCATAGTAACAGCCACCGATTTGCTATCGACGCATCCAGTTCGCACGAGAATGTGAAAGGAGTTACACGTGCCGCGATTGCCCTGCTAGTACGAATCATGCACTCTTCACATCGGGATCGCTATCCTCCAACCTTGCCATCGCCATTGGGAGGCCATGGCAAGCATCAAGCAACCTAAGGAAATAATAGCGATGACACAACTATACTAGCACCCACGCCTCCGTAAGCAACGCAGATGTTCGTTCCTTACTACTTCTTATAGTTAACAAGCACCCATCACGACAGGACCGCCGCCACTACTCTGCATTCGCGGTTTACGCCCGCATCGGTTCCTGCTGCCAACTCAAGTAAGATGCGACCAGACGCTCGTTCTTACCATCCCATCACGCGGTTCCTGTCACCACCTCACGCAGTTTCTGCCACCACGTGCAAGCAACGCTGACGCTCGTTCTTGCATATTACCTTACACCGCGGGTTACGCTCGCATCGAGCACACGAACGTACACCAATATCACCACTACTACCCTTGAGCTCA